TTGGGTTTTATTGCTCAGTCACTCAGTCAGTCAGTAACAACGTACAACTTCGTACATACGTACATTAGTTCGAGTTGCCACACCACATTAGCACAGAGATGCAGTTGTCGATTCAAATCACGTAGTGGTAGAGGCAGTAAGAGTATAAGCAGTAATCGGAAACATTAGGGTTTGAAGATGTTATTTAGAGAGTATAATCCAGTGAAATAAATTTGGAAAGAGAAAAAAGAGAGACAAGGAGGATTCAGGAGATTAGAATTTGGAAGAACACAAAGAGTGGATGCACCTGTGCCATTGAAAAGGACTTTGAGCCATGTTATTCAGGGTCACTAACCATCTGTTGCTATCATCTCGCGGATCGCAACCAGATAGTCTACACCTATCAACATGACTCAGTCCACTTGTCAGTGACTTCATGGATTTGTGCCATGTTTTGGTCTGGCCGCCCCTAGCTTTATTCCGGTCTACTCCTATACCACTGAACATCGCACGTCGAGGTAGTCGGTGGTTGGGCATACGTAACACGTGTCCCAGCCATCTCAACTTATTGCTAATCACAATCTATCTATTCTATAAACCTGGGAGAATAAATGTTAGTGAAACCGCCTACTGTTATTACTACTATCCGATTCCCTAAATTGAAGTAACTTAAATGAAGGAACAGATACCTATGATCGAATACTCAGTGTATTCTTTGATCTCTAATGTAGTGTTGCATTCAGTTCACTAAATAGGAATACCGTTTTGTAAAAAAATTTAAAAGAAATATTTTCATTTTTGTAGTACACAATAGTTTTAATTACACAAATATGTCTATCTTTTTGAGTGGATTGTTTTCATACCGTGTGAAATCTGCATACTTACTTAGTCAGTCGATGAGGCTGTCAATCTTCATAGACTGAGATGGTTAAGCCACGTGTTACATATGCCTGAACACCGATTACGAAGACGCGCAATGTTGACTAGTATTGGGAATGGTTGGAAGAAAGTTAGGGGTGGCCAAACCAAAAAGTGGCATCAGTGCTTGAAGTCACTAACTTCTAGTCCTAGCTATACTGGTAGATGCAGACTACTTGGTTGGGGTCTGCATGACTATCCTAATCAATGATTGGAGACTCTGTGTGACATGTCTGAGAATCGATCACAATGGCGTAGGTTTTTTACGCTTTCTGTCTTCTTGTAAACTATGAGATCGAAACTGCTTTATATCTTCCTTTCTACTAACTAATTGTTTCTTTCTGTACTATATCCTTACACAAAATCTTTCGGTTATATATTACACCATTAAGTTAACTGCTTCTATAAATCCGGTGTTCATCGTGCTGTGATAATGAGCTACGACAACTTGGACCGATGCATGTATGTGCCTGGTCCTATGTTGTAACTGCCTGAATTAGTCTGGATTGACCGCTGACCACTACTCTTCAGCTAACTTTGTCTTGGGCTCTCTGAATCATTTAATGGTCAATCCACATTTGTGATATATATATATATATATATATATATATATATATATATATATATATATATATATAAACCTATGCTGACTATACCTAACTTGATACCGAAATGTTTACTAACTAAATTTCGTCAAGATCACCCAATTTGTTACACAGATACAATATTTCCAAACCATCGGATCATCAGTTTTTATTTCATTCTACTTTAATTTAAATGATGTTGAATGAAATGTAGTCATACTTTGTTTGGGTTAAAATCAATTGTATAAACTTGTAATTCATCATAACAACTGCGCGCAACGGGGGCGGCCAAACCAAAACGGGGCATCAGTGCTTGAAGTCACTAACTTCTAGTCCTAGCTATACTGGTAGATGCAGACCACTTGGTTGGAGTCCGCGTGACTATCATAACGAACAGTTGAAGACTCTATGTGACATGACTCAGAATCGATCACAATGGGGTAGGCGTATACGCTTTTTGTCTTCCCTTAAACTAAGAGATTAAAATTACTTTACATCTTTCTTTCTACTAGCTAATTGTTTCTTTCTGTATCATATCGTTATATGAATTCTACTTTTTACTGCCATCGAAGTAACTGATTCTATGAATTCGGTGTTTATCTTGTTATTCTAATGAGTGAGGTACGGTAACTTGAACCGATGCATATATGTGCCTGGTCCTACGCTGTAGATGACTGACCGTACTTCATTAATGAAGTTATACTGAAAAAAGTCTATAATCAAATCATGAAGTTACTCAATATACATTAATATAAGGAACAATTAGTATGATGTATTGTGTTATGTATGAACTGTAGAGATCCATTTATAGATAAATTCTTATGGTTATTTTGATTTTTTTTTCATGGGTTAGCATTGAATATAGTTACTCAGATGCATTCACGTATTATCTCCTTTTAGAGCTTTCCAGTGCTATTTCATACATACATTCTTTTCATTTCGTTTTCTCGAAACATACATTCAATATTTAGTCATTTTCATTATGAATTACTTAGTACTATTGTAGTGAACGAGAACACATGTGAGGACAATCAATTGTATGTTAATAGAGTTCTTTCATGAAGTGTGGAAACCATGAGTTCAATACTTCATTTGCAAATCGTCCATCAATTGTCTCAAACTTTATCGTTCCTTCGATTCGATCTTCCCAATGTTCTGTTCCCAAGCATTTCACTTGTAATTGGTGTTATGTCGATATACGTGGCATACACCACATCATTATTTCGATTACTTTACTGTTAATCTCATTGTACTGATTGGAATATAAAAACTTGAACTGATACACATTGTTATCATAGAAACCAAATCGACTATGAATAATTTGTATATTTCGTAATGAGTATTTAACAAATAGTTATATTTTTTTATAATGTTAACACACTGTGGTGCGTGCTACTTATATTAATATAAGTAGTATATGACGAGTTAAAAACATAATGTCTGGCAGCAGAAGATGGGGGAAGATCAAGAAAGGAAGAGCGGAAACACAATGCAATTCGTAAGAAAACGCATGAACAATGAAATGTGAGACAATGGATTGATGATTGCAACAGGAACAGTCCAGGTTGATATGATGGATTGATATTTTGCAAATTAACGATTTGCTATATGGTTTTTCTATTTTACCAACTAACTCTGTAATTTTATGCTAGATACATTCGATTGTCCCCACCCGTGTTCTGTTCACTACAACACTACTCTAACTGTAAGGTATCGTTTAACTCATCTCTTGTTGCGATGTATTTTTCTAATGTAGGTCTATTGATTCATTACAATAATACAAGTTCAACTGCATGTTTGGTTTATGGCTGTATATGAATTGTAATCTGGGAGTTGATAATTGAAAGCTGATTGTCACAATCACTTAATCCACTTTGTTGACATACTTTCGATGACATAGAAATCACTTTTTAACTGTATATTTTGTTTTCTTATTAAAGTACAGTTGCAATACGTCCTAAACTATAATGCATTAACATACTGATTATTATTTCGTAATTCCTATCCCTGTATCTCATATCCGTTTTTGCTATTTTCTAGGCAATACATCAATTACCAAATTCAACTTTATTAGTTAGATTACTAACTCGAGCATGTAAAACTGTACTGACTGATCGTCCTGGTCTTACGGATTCTTTACCTCGATCTGGTAATGTACATAGAGTTTTAGAATTATTAGCAAAAGTCGATGATCCAGAAGGTGCTAAAGCGATTGTCATCATTTTACATCAGATGTCAGCGAGTAAAGTAAGTTTTAGTGCGATATATTTTATTCTTAATGAAAAGCTTTTACAAATTTTCTTATTTAGTCACTCAAGTTAAATAGTTATTAAGTGAAGCATGGGAGTATAAGATAGTTGTGTTGTCTTAGTATAAGGTAGTTTTTGATACATACTGCTAATGAGTCTCGTCATAATAGAATCAATCAATAAGTTGTCCAATCCTCCCCGGTTTTCACGATATAAATTGTCTTGTAATTTACTTGTTAATAATAAGTTGACTGACATCATTTCATAGAAGGTTTGATAGTAGGAATAAAATGAATATTAAGTAACGAGGGGATTCGATAATAGTGTAGAGGATCACGAGTTCTGTTAGAGGTGTGAGGGCTATTGTCGATTTCTGATTGCCCATACCGTCGAAGGATATTTCTTATTGGGGGAGGACCTTAGAAAGAAACTGGAATATTAGTAGTTTTAGCGACCAGGAAAAACTACTGTGAAGCCCTTAAGACAACTACTTGAGGCCGGTCATACACAACTTATCTATAAGAAGTTTGTGATGTATTAGCTCCGTACTTCAGTAGGCCTTGCGGCCTTAGGTGGAAGCCTGTGGTATAAGGTGAAGACTGACATTTCTGGACCTAACCTTCATTAACCTTTTTTTCCTGTTGTGAGGTGAAAAACTGTTGACTGCTTTCCACCCTACCGTTCTGCAACCAGCCTGCCTGGCATGGTACAACCTAATGGAACTATTTACCCGACCTCTATAGCTTGAATAAGTCATTACTATAGGCAAACCCAGCTACGACGTAAAAATAGGAACCACTGTCAGGACCATTCAGTCACAACTTACAATCTGGTATGTATGTACATCGTGTACAGACCAAATCGCAACTCTACGGATCATTGTGGAACAATCAATTGAATGGAATTCATCACTCTACATCAACTTCATTGACTACGAAAAAGCATTTGATAGCATGGACAGAACAACACTATGGAAACTTCTTCGACACTACGGCGTGCCTCAGAAGATAGTCAATATCATACAGAACTCATATGATGGATTACACTGCAAAATTGTGCATGGAGGACAGTTGACAAAGTCGTTCGAAGTGAAGACCGGTGTTAGGCAAGGTTGCTTGCTCTCACCCTTCCTCTTTCTCCTGGTGATCGACTGGACCATGAAGACGTCAACGTCTGAAGGGAAGCGCGGGATACAATGGACATCTAAGATGCAGTTGGATGATCTAGACTTCGCAGATGATCTGGCCCTTCTATCCCAAACGCAACAACAGATGCAGGAGAAGACGAACAGTGTGGCAGCAGCCTCAGCAGCAGTAGGTCTCAATATACACAAAGGGAAAAGCAGGATTCTGCGATACAACACAGAATGCACCAATCCAATCACAATTGACGGAGAAGATTTGGAAGATGTAAAAACCTTTACATATTTGGGCAGCATCATTGATGAACACAGTGGATCTGATGCAGATGTGAAGGTGCAGATCGGCAAAGCAAGAGCGGTATGTTTACAGCTGAAGAACATGTACAACTCAAAGCCACTGTCAATCAACACTAAGGTCAGGATTTTCAATACAAATGTCAAGACAGTTCTACTCTATGGGGCAGAAACCTGGAGAACTACGAAAGCCATCATCCAGAAGATACAGGTGTTTATTAACAGCTGTCTACGCAAAATATTTCGGATCCGTTGGCCAGACACTATTAGCAACAACCTACTGTGGGAGAGAACAAACCAGATCCCAGCGGAGGAAGAAATCAGGAAGAAGCGCTGGAAGTGGATAGGACACACATTGAGGAAAGCACCCAACTGTATCACAAGACAAGCCCTCACACGGAATCTTCAAGGCCAAAGGAAAAGAGGAAGACCAAACAACACATTACGCTGGGAAATGGAGATAGACATGAGAAAAATGAACAATAATTGGATAGAACTAGAAAAGAAGGTTCAGGACAGAGTGGGTTAGAGAATGCTGGTCGGCGGCCTATGCTCCATTGGGAGTAACAGGCGTAAGTAAGTAAGTAATGTACATCAATTCTAGTTGCCATACCCTATCAACATAGAGATATGAAGTCATCAGGCCAAATCCCAGAACAGTAGAAGTTGTAATGAAATGAATAATGATTAAAAAGATTAGCCATCGAAGATACGATTCAAGATCTAAATTAGTAAATTAAAAACTAAAAGGGTTCTGAGGAGTTTGGAATCTTAGAATTAGGAGGAAGACAAAGAATGAATGCACCTGCACTATTGCAAACGATCTTGAGCCATGTCATTCAAAGTCTCTAGATATTAGTTGGGATAATCACGTGGACTCCAACAAGGTAGCCTATACCTATTAACATTTATAAGTCCAATTGTCAGTTACTTCATGGACTGATTTCCTAGCTTTCCTCTAGTGAACTCCTAACACCAAATAACATCGCCCATACAGGTAAGCGGTGGCTGGTCATACGTAATATGTGTCACAACTACCTCAGTCGATGGAGATCTACTACCTCTTTAGTCAATTTTCTATCCTTACCTACTACCTTATTCCCAAACCAGACTCAGTAGTCTAGCACTAGCAGCGCTTTGAAGATGCCTATAAACGAATATTGATAACCCACGAATATCCTCTTTTCTTAGCGGCCATATTTCATACTCATACAGTAGGAAGGAGCGAACTACTGTGCAGTTAACATATCATTTGGTTGTCAGAAAGGTATCTCGACTACTCTACAAGTGACGCA